TTGTTACTGTGTTATGAGACAGGGAGAACAGATGCTCCTTATCTCCCTTCTCTAGAACAGTGAGTATTTTAAAGATTTGGATCCAGCCCTCTTTTATTCATCTCCTTTCTGTGGTAACAATCCCACTCCTTCAGTCTTTATACAGAGCAGTGTTTTTCTAGGTTCTTTGACTTTGTCATTACAAGTAAAAAGTTTGTGGTTTTGAGAAACTAAGAGGTTAGTTCTGTATATAAGAACATCGGTGTGGAAGGGACCTTCTGGAACATCTAGTTCCATCCTTGCTCACATAGGCAACTCCCTCAGATAATTCCCTGAATACATTTATCAAGTTGCCTCTTAAAACCAGTTTGGTTTCTTGCCCCCACTGCTCCTATTGGGAGACTTCCAGAACTTCCCTCGCCTGATGGTTAGAAACCTTCTTCTAAATTTATTCATGGCCAATTTATCCACATTTATTTTTGTGCCAATATTGTCCTTTAGCTTCAATAGTCCTTCTCCCTCCATGGTTTTTACCCCCTGATATATTTATAGAGAGCAATAGGATCCCTCTCAGTCTTTATTTTGTTAAACTAAACCGCTCTTCCAGTGCCATCTTGCAAGATCAGCTCTCCATTCCCCTGAGCATCCTAGTAGCTATTCTCTGCACCTGCTCCACTTTGAATTCATATGTAGGTGGGTTTCTGCTAAGTGCCTATTTGCCTAACTGTGTCTGCATCTTACCCAGCTGTCCCAACCTGGCCTAAGATCCTCCAGCCTTTTTCACTGACCCAAAGCCCAGAAAGTCAATGAGAGTCATTATTAGTGTGTCCATTGCAAGGAAACTCATATAATCCACTAATGTTTGGGGTTGGTACCTCATGCTATGGTCTTCTCAAAACCCATACAGCATGGCTGTGGAGGGGACATGTTTCAGAACAGGGCTGTCTCCCCTCCCAGTCAGTGCTGACTCCAATGCCCCAGTTGTGGCGCTAGAGGGAGCTGTGCTGCAGGGAGTGGGGTGGGGGCTCTGTAGGGGGCTCTCGCCTCTCAGTCAGTGGTGATTGCAGTGCCCCAGTGCAGTGCTAGGGAGTGCTATGCTGCAGGAAATGGGGTGGTTCGTGGCTCTGATTTTTTCAACAAAAAAATCAACATTTTCTATGAGAGGGGAAAAAATATTTTCACATCAGTTCTATTGGGCAGTAAAGTCCTGTAAGGAATTATTTTTATTGCAGTTTTCCTATGTCTTTACAATAGCAAAATCAGGCGCAAAAATCTTGCCTAAATTGACTTCTTTTTCCTAGGTTTCTACACATGCAAGACTTCTAAACCAGAGAGATTTGGAAGTGGTAAGAAAGAGACTGAACCTCCAAAATAAAATCCGCTGTCTTTTTCTAAGTCAGTTTGATACAGAACATGCATTCCGCCAGGAACTTAGGTAATGAGTTTTTTTGGTCCTACTTCTTTTCTTGTTGTTTAGTCTTGTATGTGATTTTTTTTAATGTCTTAAGTGTGAATTTTTTAAAAGTATCTAAAGAGACTTTATCATGTGCAGTAAGTTCTTCAGAGAATCGACAGAAGAGAAACTGCTTTTTGTCCAGTTCAACTTTGACGAGCCACAGAGCAGCAAAAGGCTTCTTGCCTGTGCAAAGTAAGCAGCTTTTCTTATCATTTTAGGGCCCAGTACAGTGGAGGAGTTAAGCATGTGCTTCAGTGATTTGCTGAACCGGGGCGTTATAAAATAACCATGGTGGTTCTGTGCTAGTAGATCTTCCTGCTGATGGAATTTCCAGCCCTCCACTCCACTGCAGTGTCTGAGGGAGGCTGAATGGGAAAAATAAGGCTGTCAAAAGAATCTCGGAGGCCAGTTTGGCACCCAACCTTAAACAAAAGCAGGTTTTCCCATAATCCAGCCGTTTTGGGAACTGGGGCGTGGAGAAAAATCACCAGACTTGGCAACAGTCAGTACCTGTTGCAAACAGCAGGGACGGCTGATTGTGCTGGTATCACCTCATGGCAAAAAGTCAAAAGCAGACTCAAGGCTGGTCTAAAACTTAGATCAACCCAGCTACAAGTCTCAGGGGTGTGAAAAACTCACTCCCCTGAGGGATGTAGTTAAGCCAACCTAAGTCCTAGTGTAGACAGTAGTAGGTTGATGGAAGACTGCTTCTGTCAAACTAACTACCGCCTCTCGGGGAGGTGGATTACCTATAGCGTCAGGAGACCCCCTCCTATTGCTGCAGTGAGTGTCTACACTGGAGCGCTATAGCGGTGCAGCTGCAGTAACGGTTTAAGCATAGACATAGCCCTACTCTCAGACCTGACAGTGGAGAATGGAAACAGGGTGAAATTCTGGCTTCACTGAAGTCAATGGGAGCTTTGCCATTGACTCCAGGATATCAGGATTTCACCCAGAGGGAAGAGACGGATGGAGAGACAGGTAACACATCTTCTGTCTTGATTGTGGCCTAAAGAACCTACATGGGGAGGAGATTTCTGAGGGCAAAAAAAAAGGCAGAACGAGATCCAGTAGCCGGGAGCTTTGAAATGAGACAAATTCAGACTAGAACTAATTGTTGACAGGGAGGGAAATTAGCCATTGGAACAGCTCCCCTAGGGATGGGGTGAATTTTCCATCCCTGGGAGTCTGTAAATCATGGCCGTGCGTCTCTTTGTAAAAGCTCCACTCTAGGTCACACAGAAGTTATTGGGCTGGATGCAGGAATCACCAAGTGAGATTTTTTTCGCCTGTGCTATCATGCAGGAGGTCAGACTGGATAGTCAGAAGGTCTCGTCTGACCTGAAGATCTATGAAGCTATGAATCTTCCTTCTGTTGTGTTTTCAGGTACTGCATAGAGGATGAGAGAAGAAAACCAGGAACGACCGGTCCATCACACGTCGTCATCATAACCAAAGTCCCAAGGATACTCGGGGGGTGCAGCTACCTGGCATTCAGTGCTGGTAAGAACGTGCCTTGATTTGGAAAGATTTGGAAGAAGAGGAAAGCAAGAGGGATTGTTAACATTATTGCAACATTTGAATCATTTTAACTGTCTTAATCACTGATTTAGGGTGGAATTTTCAGTGGCACGTAAGGCCCCGATTTTTATTATTTAGGCATTGCTGTGCTCAGCATTGCACCATCTCAGTCCCATTTTCAAAAAGGGATTTAGGCACTTAGGAGCCAAAATCCCATTGACAGGCAATGGGATTTAGACCTTAGGTGCTTAAATCACGTTTGAAATTGAGACTTAGGCTCCTAAATCAGTTAGGTGTTGCAATGCTGAGCACAGCAACACCTAAATAACTTTAAAGATCTGGGCCTAAGTGACTTAGAAGCATAAGTCCTGTTTCCATGGAACTTGTGTTCCTAAGTCACATGAGGGAGAGCTATCAAAATTCAACCAAAAACTGGAATTTCAACAAAAACAATAATTTTTTTATTCTTTTTGTTGGGAATTGCCCACTCCCGTTTTTGATCAAAATTTGAAGTTTTGATGAAAAATGTCACAAAAATGTAAAAAAAAAAATTGTTAGCTATAGTTGGGAACTCTTAGAGGAAAAGACTGGTGGTGCTGGATGTGCAAGAAAGCGAGCTTTCCCCCCAATGATAAAACTCACACACGGACAGAATGGCAGACAGTAGACGAGAAAGCAGTGACTCTGCAAGGATCTAGGGGTCACAGTGGACAGAGTAGCTCAACATTCACTCCCAGTGCAATGCTGTGACAACAAGGGCTAATGCAATCCTTGGAGGTATAAACAGGAGGAGTGAGTAGCAGTAGGGAGATGATTTTACCCCTGTATATGGCGTTGGTGAGGCAAACACTAGAATACTGCATCTAGTTCTAATATTTACGTTTTTAAAAGGATGCTAAATTGGAGAAGGTGCAGAGAAAAGATACAAAAATGATGTGAAGGCTGGATAAAATGCCTTATAGTGCGAGACTTCACCACTGGAACAAACTACCGAGGGAAGTGGTGGACTCTCCATTCATTGATATCTTCAAATCCAGATTACATGCCTGGCTGGAAAGATGTGCAAGTTATTGGGCTCAGTATGGGGTAACTTGGTGCAATTTAATGGCCTGTGTTATACAGGAGGCCAGACTGGTGATCTAATGGTCCCTTCTGGCCTTAAACTCTGTGACTCAATGACATTTTGTCATCTATTCCAATTTTGTCTCTGCAGGTGAGTGGCGCACTGTTCACTTGGATGACTTGCTTCCTCCCGAGACCTTTGCAGCCAATCTGGGACAGCTCTCCAAAATGACAGTCGCTGAGATTTTCATGAACAGCACCCAGCAGAGAACCGACACAAGTAACTGACTTCTTGCTTTAAACCCATCTCTGATGTGTTGTTTTACCTGCTGCCATTTCCCTGTCCCATAAGGGATTGAAGTTTAATCAGATAAGGAGATGTCACCATATGCTAAAAAGCGACTGTGCAAATGGAGCTGTGGTGTTCCATGCACACTCCCTCTGAAGACTCAGTTTTGATTTAGGCTACACCCCCACACAGAGAAGTAAGAGGGGGGTAGGGAATCCCGTAATGCTCCTGCCTGGGTCATCCAGTCCACGGGTCCATGTGCACAGGAGTCAGAGGCAGTGCTGGGTTTACTATGGTGGCAATGGTGCCATCGCACTGGGCCCACGCTTGGAAGGGGCTGTCACTGTGCCTCAGTGGGTCACAACTGAGAATACCAGACTGCTGAGACATGGGGCAGACTCACACCACACCGGTGGTTATTTTTCCCTGAGAGATACTTTTGTGAGTGGTTTGGTAACTTCAGTCTCACCACACAGGCTAACAAGAAGTCAGAAACGCAGTCTCCTTAGTTACTCCAGCCCTTGTTTCACCACTCAAGTTAATGATGAATTGTTATTTAAAACCAGTTTAATCAAACAAAGGGTTCTTCTGATCCAAAGGACCAGCCACATTCCCAGATCAATGTATGACTCAGATTTTACCCAGTAATCACACTGTTGCCAATCCTTAAGTTTCTAATATCTGAAGGTTTTGATGCAACAGATAAGTAACAT